AAAATATTTTAAACTATACAAAATTATATAAAATAATAAAGAACGTAATAGAATTTTATCCTCATTAATCAACTGACATCGGGTTTACACTGCGAAAACAGTAAAGTGAAATCATAGTGACATTGTGCCAGTGTAAGATGGATGGCATTCACTACAGCATAGTGAATCTGACAGGGATAGTGGAGAGTACGTTGGCGCTCGAACAAGCTCTTGTTCAGCTCAACTCAGTGAGGTGGCCTTACGTCCGATGCACTGCAGGTGCTTATATGCCATACAGCCGTGGCCTGTTTGAATGGTCCTCCTAGTCGATCAGAAAAAAGAGAAAGGTACAACCTTGTGTAATGACTACCATCTGTCTTATACTATTGCAGTGTCGCTGCCAAGTAAGCAATTTTCCCTTAAAATTCTAGCCCTGTAAACCTGACATAAGCATTTAAACGATTATTTTAACCGACAGAATTGGGAAGCAGCCACTCGGGGTAGCTGTCCCCAAATATCGGGGTATTCTTTTCTTTTATGTTTTGTAGAATCTATATTGGACAAAAACGAACTTTACTTCCGGCGCCATTTCAGCTCCCGACACAGAAATCATCATCGGGAAGAGTTCAATAATTCTGTCAAATCTTTCTAAGCCAAAACAGAAAACATCTACCTATCATTTTTTAAAAAGCAACAGCTTTCGTTGCTTAATAATAGAAGTAAAAATTTTCTTTTAACCGTTTTGTTTTAATGTTTCAGAAGGTTACAAATGAAGTGTCCGTCTAACAAATGGCTGTCGTTTTTTTAACTGAAGTAATTACATGATTATTGCAAGTAACAGTTACTGACCCCCCGAAACTGTTCCCCTAGATATGGAGGTCCACTTCGTTAACAATATATTTCACAAAGACTGATATCAACTGTCTCTTTCGCAATTCCGTAATACTGTACAGCAAATACTTTTATGTGAAAGCCGACCAGCTAATAATATCATTAATAACGGCACATGTACATGTGCGAACGAAAGTATCGGTTACGCTCGTCCGCATTAATTTTAAAGAATGCAGATCTTTATGTCACCTCTCTGAACTAAACAGAGGATAATAACAAGTGCGCAAAACAGACGGAATTATCAGTTGACGCCTGATGAACAACACCAAAGAAAGACACGGTAAAATAATTCGTGCCGCTTCAGTGGTCAAGACCTCGAAAATTCCGCACAGTAATATTGTTATAAACTTGTATTCTCAAATCTGTCAATGAAGGATGAGACTTTCCACTTTTCGTGTTAGTAGTTTAAACTCAATTTGGAAATCCTCTGATAATCCTTATCTTGAGTTTTCCATATCGACTGCACACTACTACGCTGGCGGTTACTCTCGAATAGAACCGTTCGATAAGTCAAAAAAGCAAAAAAGTGCAACTGAACTCGAAACCGAATTAAGCAGCCGACTGCATTACTTGCATAGTTGAATGCGCACCACCTCTTACATCGCATTATGTGAAATGTTCTTATCGCACTGACAACTGACGTATGTCACTGACGTATGTCAGTGCCCGTTCAGAGGAACAATAACATGACTCACAAGCTAAAACGGTATTATTATATTGGATTTCTAAGATTATGACACCTCAGTCGTGAAAGTTTTACTCTGACCCTAGTTTTCTCCGTTTTCTGATCAATTACAGACAGTCCATCCGGTTCATCTCTCGGCCTGTCCGTCTGCTCAGGAGGCACAGCGAAGCAATTTAACGTGTACTTGAACTGGAAGACGTCCAAAAGTGCCCAGTGTGGTATCTTCTTTGCGGTAAGGGTTTGCGCTGCTACAGTTTATAGCTGCTATAGCTCCTACAATTTAGCCTTCTGATTTACACTGAACTTAAATAGCGTTGACGAGAATTTGCTGCAACGTGTTGCAGCAGTTGAGAATTATTCATTTTTTCACAGCTTTGGAAGCTGTTGATACTGGATAAAACACTGCAGAATCATCTGACACCCTGCATATCGTTTTCGCAAATATTCGTTTTAATGACGTCTGAAACAACCATAAAGAAAGAACTTTGCACTTCGAAGGTTCAGGTCATACTCCCTACCTGGAACTGGCTATTTCTGTGACCGCTAACGTGTTCTGATATTTTTTTGTTTCGTCTATAGCGTAATTCAAAACTGGCAGCCGACATCATAATGGGTAAGGCATCACGTCACTTTCAGAACGCCAAATTCTGCCAGCACCGTCTCAGTGAATAGCTGAAAGCATTTTCTGGCAACCAATGTGCGCTGTGTCCGAACATGAATCGGTAAGCCGTGTGAAACCATAAAGTGTTCAAGCCACCGCCTTGGTAACTCACAGGAGATCTTTCAAGATGTTTACGACTTTACTCAGAAAAGTGCCATTTTTCATGCAGAATTCACCGTTTATATTCTTACATTACCGTCAATTAATATTATTACTTATATCCCTTATATGCAGGATAACATTATTAACCATAATTCTTATTGTCATCATATTTGGACATCATCCGTTTATGGGAATCGACAAACAGGCAAAACAACGTCAGAACGCCAAAGCTTACCTTTGATCATCTGACAGCATCGAACCACGTGCGCATGCGGGTGCTCCACGTGTAAATCAAAGCCTGAAGCACAGAGTAATAATCAGTTGTGTTGCCACACGAACAGCGTAAATGAAACAAAACAAAGTACTCAGAGTTTGAAGCAGAATGTTTTCGTAAGTCACAATCTTCTGAGCTTCTTCCGCGTACTTCTTCAAAAAGCCAACTTATTAAAACATCACAAACTTCACAACCCGAAGAAAAAGGTCAAAATTTCACGTACGTCTGACTTTACGTCTAAACCGGGGTTATCACGGTGCTGCAACGCGTGCGAGACTTTCACAACGTACTCAAGCTTTCGGGGACACTCTTCGACCTTCGCCGCCAGGAACAACGCGGCTGCCGCAATGTCCTGAATGTGACATAAAATAAACCGTACTTCGAATTTTGGGTCCTTACACTTCGAGGAAACCGATGAAACGAATGGAAAGCATAAAATCGGTGCATGAACACAAGCGCGGTATTCATACACAGCTGGCTTCTAAAAGATGGATGTCATTTCATGAACAGCAGTCGCAATGTTAAGGTTACAAGTTGAAAGGTATTCGTATGAAGGAAGTACTCGTAAATGGAAGTCATTATTCTGCGGTACCCATTTTGAAGAACTACGATGGATTAAGTACAATATGGCTGTTTAAATGTGCTTTGCTTAAAACTTGCATCAATTAACTCATATGAGGAAGTCCTCTTAACTCGAATGAACTAATATCCAAAGGTCATGCAAACAAAAGGAACGATAAATATGTTGAATTACCTAATTAACAAGTAATTTACATGACACTGAGAAAAACAATTCTAATATTTATTGAGCAAAACACTTGAATTAGTACAATAACACTTAAACAAACAAACAAACACTTAAATAAACGGCAACACTGCAAAGAGGAGCTTAGGCGGAGCGATGCGTTCAAAAAATGCGCTAGTCACATTCGTTGTGGCAGGTCCCATAAACCTATCAACAGAGAGTTATCATCCGTTCAGGAAGACAAAAGTGGGCAGTGCAAATCGAAAGATGGTATTACATACATGCGGAGCATGAATCATGGCCCCTAGAATATCCGTATTTTGACTAGAAATAACATGAGCTGGTTGAGGAAGCTGAGCGGTACCAACTCAGATAGAATCCAGTTGGAATCTATTTTACTCTACGCCGTAGTTCCAAGTTATTCGACCTCGAAGACGTGGTTTTACCTCTAAAGAAATAAAGCACTCTATCGTATCATCTGCAAAGTATAAAAAAGTATAACTAGATCCAAGTAAACAGAAAATGTAGGATGGTACAATCTATATCCCCTACTGTGCCTTCTTGTACCTGCTTTTACAAGGCCAAGAGAACTTATTCAAAAACGTACCTCATAAATTGAAACTGCTTTCACCGGAACCAAGTTTTAAAAATTCTTAATAACTTTTGAAAATCTACTTCTATAAATTTAAAGTAAAAATCTACCTAACAAATCCTCGCTACAAAATGACAATTGTGATAATCTATAAGAACCTTCTATTTAGAAAATTTTCAGTTATAAATTCCATTTATAGTTGCATAGAGGTAACATAATCATATTTCTTTGTCGTTCTCTGCGATATGCTATTCTCCTGCTCTGTATACCAAGTTAACTTTTTACCAAAAAACCAGTGCCTTCATGATTCTATTCAAGGAGCAAAAATACCTTAAATTTCGTTGATTTATAAATATTAACTCAAGGACAGACGTAGCTGTAAGGTGGTTCGAGTGATGAAAAACAAACGTCTACATTTTTTAACGCTATTGCTGAAAATTCCTGGATTTTATATCTCAGATTACACTTTATTTGTTAAATTTAGGGCTCCTAACGAGAAATTTTTGG